CGTTTAGGAGTAGACTTAAGACGTTCCTTTTTGATAAAGCTTATAGTTAGGGCTGGATCAGGTGACCCTGAGCCTTCCCTTAGTTATGCTGCTATAGGCCTAGGCTGCTGGGGGGGGCATGATGCTCTGGGTTTTTCTCCTCCCCTCCTGCTCTGCTCTCCTCAGAACACAGTGTTTATTTATGTGGAGTAAATTATTCATTTTTATCTTTACACTACTTACATCCATTGATGTTCCACTGTTCACTCATGTAACTTATCTTCTTATTCTGCATGATTTCATTCCATTTCATCCCACTGCCTTAGTGTTTTATAAGCTTAATGTACTTTATCCATTACTTATAATTTAAATCCATAGCCTGTTATATATCGTACATTCCCCTACATATCTTACTGTAAATATTAGTTGTACATATCCATCTATCCATTTTCTATACCGCTTATTCCTGAATAGGGTCACAGGGGGCTGGAGGCAATCCCAGCTGACACTGGGAGAGAGATGGGGTCCACCCTGTACTGGAATATTTGACCTCCATCGCACACACAGTCACTTAAATAAATGCCAGCTATATGTTGTGGTTCAAGTAGGTCTGTGTTGTGTGATATATTTCCCCCCCACTCCTCCTAGAAAAAGGAACCTAGTCTGGTATCTGTACATATATTTCACAGTGTGCTAAGCCCGGGTTACATATGTAAACAAACAAAAGATGTTTGCATTAATTTAAGACTGAGTATTTCTTTGGATTCTAACAAATGTGTTGAATGCATTTCTTCTCTCATAAGATATTAGCAAAAACAGTTTTTCAAGTAGTTTAACTTTTATCTTATCCATGTTTACCTGCTGACAGTCTTCTTCCCTGATTTTGCCTATACACAGACAGTGTAATTCTGTAGGTGCCACCTGAGTGTGAACTTGTACATGTGAGTGCTTGTATGTGTACATGAGATAAAGAAATCATTGACCCACTCAGTGAATTCAAGCCACATTCAGCAGCAGTCTTTGGGAAGTTCCAGCATCATTACACAGTCATCCAATCATTCATATTGCTTAGTGCCCTCACAGTGCACTGACTCTAATATTAGTGACTAATCAACCCAGTACATCCTAAGTTATTTTTATGTTCTGCACTACTTGCAATACTTCATATTACTATAAGACAGCACTTCCTACTTCCTGCCAACATACAGGTTCAGCCAACTATGCAGACTTGCGTATCTTCAGAGAGCACATGGGCCTCATTGGTGCAATGGGCCAGCATAGCTACAATCTTAGATGCGCATAAGTGTGGTAACTAGAACTAAACCTACGATAATGTGCAAACCTACAGTAAATCCAACCTAACATCACAGATTAATTTAAGGGGGCTTTCTGTCCCACAAAGGAGGGAGGTGGGATCTCCTGGTAGGCACCAGCCTGCCAGGTCACATCCAGGAGGGGGGTCCTATGGGCTGCCGTGTCCACCATGGTAGCAGCAGTGTGCGCGCCAGCCCACTGCAGCACACGAGCGGAGGGCCTGTGATGGAGAGCCAGCTGCCTGGAGCTATAGCCACACGTAGCAATCCCAATGGCTCCCAGCAGCATCGCCATACCAGGCATGGTCTTCTCAGCTGGAGGTGCCACAGACACATTATGGTAGGCCTGGGTCTGGAAGAAGGACAAAAGACAAGAGTGAAATCCAATCAGAAGAATGTTTTTCATCAGGCTACATGACAGCAGTACAGAGATAATACAACTCTTTTGCAAACAATGCCCAAAGAGTTATGATTTGCTAATTTCCCAAGTACATGGAAGATCACTTGTAGTTATAAAGACAGGACATCATGTCGTGTAGCCCTTTTCCCAGACTGCCTGCTTTAAATGAGAATGCCACAATATGCTCAGTCCTAAACCCCCACCAATCCCCAAGAGATTAAAAACCACGGGCAATTTCCTTCATAGGGCCTTGACAACTATAAAAAGCACACAGGAGTAAATAATAGAAACTTCATGGAGCTGTGTCACAGTCAGTTAAGAGCCCAATCCTCTGGCGCACTAACCCATTTCCCTTTAAAACACAATAGATTGTCACAGGCTTAGACTACTCTCTTGTTTGTGGTAAACACCACAAACATGTAATTGTGTTTTGTGAGCTAAAACAAAATACATCCTACCTTTACTGAAACAGTAGCCAGTAAAAAAAGGCTTCTTGATGAATGGCACCTGCTCCTCCTCAAAGGAAATCAATTTATGTATATAATATGATGGCACTGTATTGCTCTCAGAATTGTCAGATTGTCAACTGTCACTTTCTTCTACTCCCATAGCTAAGGACTGGTAAAGACAAAGGATCCCACACATCATGCAGTCTAGGCTTCAAATCCAAGCCATTAAGAAGGTTTTCTGCCTTTTTGTTTTAAGGGTGTTAAAGCAGAACAATTCCCTGGTGCAGATAAACTGCAAAGGCAACCCACTGCAGACGTCACCCCTTCAACTGTACCCCACATATACAGACAGCTTTAGTGTCACTATGCACCTGAGAATAAAAATCAAAGCATATAAAAATATTCTTCAGGCAATTACAGTATCTACTTGACTCAAAATCTTGAACACAATTGATATGATTGTATTGATTATTAGTGTCAGATTATTTGTATTGATTGATTATTGTATTGATAAAGTAGCGTTCAAATATCCCAATCAGGCTCACCTCATTTTATAAATATTCAAACTGACAAAACAATTGATCTCATCACAATTTGTCAAACTGCTCACTCTCACCTGAAGCAACCTGATGTAGCTCAGAGTTAGTCGTGGGAGTCTGAAAAACATTTTCTGGGTGTTCCACAGTGGTCTTCCTGTTAGAACAAGGATGAGCAAAGAACCAGACAACACTTGGCTCTCCTTCACACGCTCGTCTCCCTGGACTCCCAGGACAAGAATTCCACTGACAGAGGGCCTGTCCAGGTGTGTGCGTGGACTCTTCAACCTGTGTTCAGCTCTCTGATGCAGGGTGGTCTGGTCAGCCCTTATAACTCGTCCTTCCTGTCTTTACTTAACAGGCAGTCTGCAGGTAGCAAGTGTAAGGGGATTATAGGAACTGGCAAACAGAGACAAAGACATCAGTCTAAACAGAAGGAAGGATGAATGGACTGTAGGACTGGGTTATACTTAAATTTTAAGTGGCATCATATTGAAATGCTGTATTATTTTACAAAATTCAGTTGAAATTAATACCAGAGCAAAATGTAATGACTTAATTTAACATAATCTTCCACACATTTGAAACACTTGTGAATACACTCTTACACAAAATAACAAAAGATTCTTAATTCTGAATATATAAGTTAATAGTGTGATTATTTTTACACAGTTTGGTAACAGATAACACTGTGCATTCTGTCATCTTCAATATTTTGCATTCTCTCTGAATATTTTCAGGAGTCTGATGCCAGAACAATATGAGTCATATACCTAAGCAATGGAAAATGATGAATGAGAACTTGCCGATTACTAATTTAAGTAAAGTACATTGGCGTGAGTGCCAGTGATTTCTGACTTCAGCATTTCCTTTAACACCCTTATGCAGAAGCCCCGAGTCAATAGAAGTTAGGACAGCTAGAATCTATTTGAATCGGCCAAGTGAGCTGATTTGGATGTTTTTCTGTCGCTGTTGATAATGGCTTCTCCTGCCAAGTCAGCAGATTTCTTTAAGCTTTTAATATCCTTCCTGGCCTCAGGGTCATCAGCTCAGAGTGAGGTCTTATAATGAGGTAGCTGTGCGGATAACGTCTATCTCTGTAGAGGAGAGGAATCCTCTCCAGCGGGAGCAGCCACCATGACCTTCTTCTCATCTCAGGTAACAGCACCCAATTCTGCCGCCCAACTCGTGCATCCTTGAATAATGTTAAACTCTGGCAATAATGCTGCAAAGTCACAACGCCACTCTGATTTCATGGCCATTTATCACATCCACTGTCTTTCTAGGGTAGCATCTCCATTAGGCTGTACGTGGGCACAGCTTCTTTGAGCTGAATGCTTTGTAACAGACCTCTTGTTCGTGCTCTGAGAAGAGAGGAGACTGTCTCCACAGGCTAATGTCTGCAGAATGAATTCATGACCATCAATCAGCCACAGCACTGGGCGCATCCATATGAACAGAGGCCACAGATGGCAGCTCATGTTAATTGTTCACCACTGTAATATGACACACTCACAGTTGTGTTACAGTAGAACCTGCTGGTCTCTGCTGGTGCATCCCAGTTGGAATGACAACGGTTCCTGTGAAGCTGGTATGTGGCAGAGAGCTCTCACTCAGTCACAACGGCACTGTCCAGCCAAACTAATCCTGACCCCATCTGCTGGCAGTGAGCTATGGGAAAGCCTGAGCTGATTACCTGAGCTGTAGAGAGGTCTGCTAATGTGGAAGGTTAAGCAACTAACTCTCTGGGGGGTACTAGTTTCCATGGTCATCAACAACATACTGTGTTGCTATAATCAGAAAACAGTTAATGGCCAAAAAGGAAAAAAAAAATAGTTGTAAAAAAACAGGGGGACTGTTTATCACAGTCCCAAAATACCTGCCAAGGGATCATTAGTTGCACCAGCATTACTTCCCTGAATACTATCAATTCATTGAGTGCAGCTAAGCAAAACAGCAAATTCGAAAAGGCACATGGAATAGCAATGTGGTCAAAAATCGATCTGTGGAGAGCATACTGTAGATAACTGAATAGCTACTAGGTTAATTGGCTGGGTTTAAATGTCATAACAGCAGAGCTGACATTTGCTTCTCTGTCAAGTACAGCTTTAGATGAGGAGGACGAGTGTTAACAGCAATTAAATGCCCATTTAAACTACATGATGACAACTTCAAGCTTCCTCGGGGTGGATGGAAGGATTCGCCCAGCTCAGGATTAACTGGCTTTATCATCTTCTTGTACAATATAATGCATAAAAATGAATTAGACAAAAGGCACAGATTAAAAGAAAATATTTAATAATAAAAATATTTCACATAGCATTATCAATATTTTTGAAATGCAGCGTATAAGAAATTTTCAGGAGCTCCTGGCAGAAATGATCCTTCAGTAGCATCTCATTTTCACTGTGACTGACAGTCTCATGGGTGCGTTGAAGAAAGTTGTGTGTTCTTTGCTCCCTTCATTGGAAGAATGTCTGTCATCCAGTACTGGAACAGCAAACTGACTGCACTGGTTTCCTCTAAAACACAAAGAGACAGGGGACAATATTTCAGTTACGGCTGAGAGTGCAGACAACACAGAACCAGAGGAGCAGTCAGTGTTTTCACCAATGATACTTATGTGCTGGTAGATTTTCTGCAAAATAAATCTAATTCTCCTGCCAGTGTGCAATATACTTCCTAGCTCTCCTGCATGTAAATATTCAACCTAACATAGCTGTCTCCCAAGACAGAATATTTTACTTACTGTATTCTCAAATGTTAGAGCTAGAGTAAATCTGGCCAGAACATAAAATGGGCTGTATAAAGGGAGCAAGTCAGGCCACTGTCATTCATGAGAGAAACTTCAGGGTGCAGAAAAATATGCTCATAGAAAATCTGTAATAGACTGAGGAGTGAGGAGAGCTGGAGTAAACCTGCTTGAAGGCTTTCAAAGCAAATGGATTAGGTCCTGCATGGCAGTGGATGTGGGTAACATTAAAATACAGAAGGATTTAACAAGGTGGATGCTAGTTTAAAAGTACAAGTTTAAACTTATTGCAGCAATTAAAAAATGTATCAAATGCAGTGAGAATGCTAACCTAACAAAGATGAGTTAAGTAGAACACATCTTAAATGATAAAGATTAATTCACAAGAACATGTTTTTCTGCTTTGATACAAAGTGCTGAGTGTAGAGTTGCATTTAAAAACAGTGAAAGGAAGCCTGGCTCACATAATATGGGGCAGGTTGAGGGGCATTAAGAAAAGCTTTTAGGCAGCTATGGAGCAGGTGCATGTAGAGGTTAGGCACAGCAAAATTTATGAGATACTGTAGCAAACTGGTTTTTATGCTGTGTCGTCTTCGCCAGCAGGGACAGACGGAGACAAGTGTCACTTGGTGGCCAGTGAGATGGCACTGGCCTGAATCTCCTGGCTGGTCTCACTCTTATTCACACACACACGTGTCAGCAAAGTCCCTGCTGATCCTATTATGCAGCAAGCTAGCCAACCAAGCAATTGCACAAACACACACACACACACACACACACACACACACACACACACACACACACACACACACTCAAAAAGTGTCTGGGGACTGAAGAGATGTTTTGGCTTTTGACAGAGTTAAGGTAAGAGGAACAAGCTCAAACATGTTAGGTGACCTGTGTGTCAGCTGGAACATGCACAACTCTAGTATTGGAAACCAAGGGCATATACGTACAGGTATATGCTACTGAAAGCAAGTAAGGGCAGGTACACAAAGATCAGTGTCAGGGCACACAGAATGGGAGGCAAGCAGAGGCAAGTATTCACCTGCAGGGACAGCTCAGTGAGGTTCCTGGGGCATATCCTTGCAAGAGGAGGCCAGTATGGACAGTGCTGGGTATGAATGCACGTAACAGGCATGAAGCAACATTAAATACAAGTCAAGCTCTCTCATGTCTCCTTCCGTAACTAACCTTGTAACACTCTTCCTGGAAAATACGGGTTAAATGTTCGATGCTTTGACCAACTGATGCATCACTGACCTTCAGACATGAAGGAATTGCAGTACAGCTCCTCTAGTGCCTCTTTCAGTTTGTCTGTCTCTTTCTCTTGAACAAAGGCCTTGAGACTGCAGAGCTGCTTCAGGAGGAGAGTGGGGTTACCACCACTGGATATGCGACGCAGAAGTTCATCCACTGTCCCAGACAGGAGAGAAGGCTTGTCTACATGCAAAGAGGCTGAAGGACCACATAGGGCGTGAGAGGTGATCTGTTTACTAAAGGCTGCATTATTGTAACTTCAGTATCTAGTAGAGTGCAATTCAGCTGGAGCTGACAAAATAAAGAAATGTATATTCATAAATTGCACCTAATATACAGTTATATATACTTGACTCTGTGTCACCACAATAAAGGAAATGTTACAGTATAATTTTTAATTTACAAAACCAAACTGGGTGATTTATATCTGAGCTTTCTCACCATGTATTAGTCTCACTCATTTACAAGACCGTGCTACTATATATAAAGCACCAAGGAGCTTTCTCTTGTTCTGCTCACTGGTCATTGCCTAATCTTCAGCACACACTGCAGATTAATGAACTTGTTTCTCTCAGAAAGTTCAAAGCCTTGATTAAAAACTCACTGAAGAGTGCAACTGCTTCCCATAGGCTGCATTTTGCATCATTAGTGTGTTGCAGAAATTCTTTCTATTAAACAATTTATTTATTAACTTTTATATTTGACACATTGCACCTTTAGTATTAATAAGTCATGTTTGCTTGGTTTTCTTATAAATGAATGTTAAATACTGACAATCAAGCAAAGCTGTTGCAAATGGCCACCAGCTGTTTGCAACAGCTTTCAGTGGCTTTCAGCATTATGCAGAATTATGTTTGTAAACTTCATCTATGACTTGTGTGTGCCAACACCCTAATGAATATAAAAAAAATATCACACTTTCATGGCCTTTTTAATCTGAGCTAAATGAGGGATATTGGAGCAGTAGCTTTAGCAGTGACTAGAATATTTAGTCCAGAAAGCACAACAATAAAACAGCCTCTGCACAGTACTTACAATCTGACAAATAGATTTCCAGTGTTGTCCTGAGGAAGTCTGACACCTCTGCAGCTCTCTTCTGATTATCCTCCACCTCCCCATCTTTTTGGTACATGAACTCCAGGGCAGCCGCCCGGGGCACCAGACCCATGGAGAGTAGCTTTTCTTTGTGCCTCTTCTTCTTCAGCTTTCTCTTCTTGTTCTTGCTAATGCACCCTCCTCCCTCATCCACAGGAGCTTGACTGAACTGACTCCTGCTGGACTCGCTCCCTGCAGCTGCTCCATCTTGCTCAGAGTCTTGATGAGGAGTTGGTTTCCTTTTCCTTCTTCTCCTTTTTCTCTTCTGCTCTTCTTGCTCATTATCTTTGTCTAGTTCTTCGTTGCTGTCATGGACAATCTCCTCTGTGGGCAACAAAACTGTCTTGGTTAGTTTCAAAACATCATTAAAACTTCAACCATTACAGTCTTGATAAGCACTTCTGCCCAAGTATAAGAGGAACAGATCTAGGTGGTCACCTTGCAATCTGGAAGAAGCTAAAGAAATGTTGAAAAAGACTAGCTAAAACCAGTAGGGCATCTGAATTCCAGTAGTGTCCAATAATGTGGCATCGAGGGCTACAAGACTGTGGGTTTCCCTCCAGCCATTCACTGTGCCAGCTGTTTCCGCTAATGAGGTATTCTGTCTTTTTCACCTTTTCAAATGCCATCCATGTTGCATTCAAATTCTCTTCACCTTAGGAACATGTGGATTATCGCTGTCTGTTTCCCTTATTTAGAGTGGCAGAGACAATCCGAGAGCCAGCTAGGAAAAACCCATGCAGTAGATCACTCCTACTGTAGCTTTATGGCACATAGCCCAAGCCCATAAATGTAAGCTTATGGTTGACTTACCAGCTTGGCCCTTGGCATTATTTCTGCTTTCTATTTGGATGAAAGATTTCTCTGAATGAGTCTCTGCAGGAGCAGGCAGGACCGTGTACATCCGCCTGCTGGAACTGGCTGCACTCTGTGTTTGGCCTGCATCTCCTGAAACAGAAGTGGCTAAAAAAGGATGGTAATGAAGCCTAATGTTAATAGCAGGAGGGTTACAGCAATTCTGTATTTATGGTGTGCTGATATGCTAATATGTGTATTTTGAAAAAAAAGCAAAGAAAATGAATGGGAAAAGATAAAGAACACACACATATATTAGACCGCAGAACTGAATCTGATCTTACCACTAGCAGTGTCCCCCTGACAGGCTTTTCCTTTCATGTACGTTTTTCCAGCTTGGGCTGGGCTGGGTTCCTCCTCAACTATGAGAGCTGCAGGATAAAGCTTCTGGAGTACTTTTGATAGAAACACTGCAGAAGACATAAGAAAAGAAGACAACCAAACAAATAAACAAAAAAAAAATACACTGTTAATCAGATGGCATATGGAAACAGATACCTGTCAACTTCTTATAGTGTAAGAAAACCTGATCTTAAACTGAAAGCTAAAATCTATCAATTTAAGAATGCAATTCAATGCAAAGTGGAGCAAATTATCAACCCCAATTGTGACTAAAGTTAAAAACCAAACAAAACTGGCCAAGAAGCTTGAAAATACTGCTGCTTTGTGGCTCATGTGAATGTTTTAGGCATTAATCTGTACTAATTATAGCACAACAACCACTACCTGCTTTTCACGCATTACAACAGAAACAGGGAAAAACTGAAAGCAGCTACAATTCGGAAGTGAAACGTGTATTTGTTGACAACATACTACTAACCTAATTAACGCGAGAATTACCCGGATAGCTACGTTAGCCAGCTAGTAACAAACAAAACTCCAGTTTTTGTATTAAATCTCGTAATGTTGTAAGTGACAGTGAAAATGCTCACCTTCTTTCCGATGTGCCATATCCACATATATAGGTGCCCGATGTAAACATTAATGTTGTAGATGGTTAAGCAGAAATAGCTAATATGCTACTAAGCTAAGTTAGCCGAGTCAAGCTAGCAAACATGCTAGCTTTTGAGCTGAGCTCGGTTCAGCGGAGAGCTATCTACATGGCACATACAGGTGAAACAATAGCGTTGTGCAACTCAGCATCTTAGAATATATAGAGAGCTACTTAAAGGTTAAGTAACTTTAACTAAAGGTTAAGCTTGCTAAGTACAGTGATTTTTGGACTCTTCAAGCTGCCATACAATCCACCAGCCACTACTAGCACTACCACCACTGTGTGGTAGAACTGACAGTCAAGTGAATCTCATGAGTCGGGTTTTCGCCAAATTTCCATTCAAAATAGTCGCAATCTAACATGGACGTTGTTGTCAGAGAAGATATGTGTTCTACAAATTATGAATTAATACACTGAGTGCATCGTTCGAATCTATTTTTCAAATCGGCTTATAAACCGACCTACTTTAATATAATATTTAGAGTTATACGTACAATTTTGACACCGTCTGACTGACCGTCGAATGAAAAAGACGGCAGCAATAACAGCTAGATTTTCCCTAACATTTGTTTTTGTGATATTAACTGTGGGACAAATTAAAACTGTCACCTTGTTCTACTAAAATGTTCTGATAAGAGGGATGACAGGTGGGCGTGTTGTTTAGATTCTGTTGGCGCGGGACACGGGATGCCCCGAGGGAAAAGGGAATGTTGTTACTGTTTGCTATTTCATTTTCTCCTGTGAGCACACGGTGCCAGATAAATCACAGTTATTTTGCATTCTCTATTCTGCTCAATAAAACCCAAGAAAAGACAACGCAGGTGTTCTGCTCACTGTTAGCGTAGGCGCTAGCGCATAGCTGGCTAGTTAGTTG